GTCAAATCGACTTAAGAGCTGTAGAACCAGTAAGTGATAGTCTGATTTTCAGACCATTGTACCGAATGGTCGTAAGTTTTATGCTGCACAAAGATTCAATCAGTTTAATGTTGGCCATTACAAGAAGTGGGTTATTGATGTAGACAAATGCTCATGTACCATGTACAACTCATTTTATGTATGTTATTACCAAAGAAGAAAAAAGTCAGTCAGTCACTCAATAATGTCTGACAGTGAAGTCTAGCAAGTAAACGAGTTTCTTTGCATAATTTGAATATTAGGACACTGCTAACTTTAAATGTCATACCTGACATATTCATAATTCATGCAAAGTTCTACAGAATTTGAAGTTGGCTGCAAAAGGGACATAGTATCGTTAAATGTTATTCGATAATTTTTAAAGCATTCCTTTCCAGCTTCACAATAATATTGATGTTACAGTCAATTAAAGGTAATACAAAGTTTTGGTATGGGGTCATGAATTTGGTTCAAATGAATATATTGGAAGCATATGCCATCCTACAATATTCATTGATCATTGTCGCGGTTGAACGCGAGTCTAAAGTTATGAAATTGTTAATAATAAACTCGTTATGTTGTACAGCTCCCTCTCAATGTCAAGATATTAATTAAGCTATAAAACAATGTTCTTACAAATAGTGATAATGTGATAAGATTTGTATAACAATTTACTTGAATGGATTGGAAATTCGGTTTCAGGAGCGCCCCTGTACGATATGTCTCAATTTAGTGTTTCTTTGTTTCTGAGTGATCTAGGCACCGTGCGTTACAAAATTAAAAGATCACTGCGCACGCACGCCGAATAGCCGAGAAGCCTGTTTCAAATCGGGCAAAGCTAGTTTTCCATGCAATCGGAACCGGGCTGACCAGATTAAACTTTAAAAAAAGCAGAAACACGAAGTTGCAAACCATCCAGATTCCAGAGACTCCTAATAAATTGCGTTACTGATTAATTAATTATATCATTACAAATCTTTATCCTCAGTTTTCTTTTGTATAACAGTTTTCTTATGATTTTCTTATAAAATTAAAGATATGGCGTATATATTCAATACTGAATGAACGCCATTAAACTATTACCTACAACAACAACTTGACTAAAATCAACCGATTATCTATTCCCGTTTGGAAATTATATATCACAACTACATATTCTGAAATTGTCATGGTCGCAGCTACCATTGTACGGCCGTAGGCGCTATTTGAAATTTATCAAAATTTACCCGGAGCACCGGTAAATTTTTATATTCAATTTTTCTCGAAAGCAGTAGTGTTTTAGGGGCTAAATTTTCTAGTGCTTATTATACATCCACAGGGGCATCCAAATATATCAAAATTGTAAAGAACCACTATCCACCCAATTTCCAAAATTTCCCAAAACTTTGTATTACCTTTAAGGCAAACTTTCCTCTTTTCCCCCATTTTATTTTTGTTCACGTTAAAGAATAAAGCAGTAGCTATGTCACATGAATAGGATCGCCTTTGAAATACCCTCATGACCAAAATTATGACTAGTAATAGTCCAAAGCCTTCCCCAAACATGTCATTGTAGTCCCATACATTTATAACTGTGTACAGTAATTTTCAATGGTATGATATTCAGTAAAATTCCTGGTCAATTTGACAATTCGTATCACACACACTCCCCCCTGTATACTATATCCCACAATCAACGTTTAAATTCAGAAGTTTCCTTCGCAATACAATAGCAATACTAGTATTCAGCATAACATTTTACCCTACATCGATAATGATATAGTAGTTCTACTGTTCTACTATTCAACTCAGCAACATTAAAGATAAACTCCAGTACTGGTAAAAAAAAAAAAAAAATCTCACAGAATCAAACGAAACTTACACTGAATGTTCAAGATTACAAATAAATGACATGTGCCAAACAATTTTGGAAGGAAATGTATACTGGCTGAGTAATGAGCATAGAAAGACAAGGAAACCAAGGTAGTACCATCCCCGACAGCATGTGTGTTGTCCCATATGTAGCTTTCTATGTGAGTGTTTGTTACTTTACCAAGACTCGGTCAAATTTATTATGATTTTGATGATTCCAGAACCTTGCAGTGCACACCAATACTTACATGCTCCATGATCAACTGTTTCTGATCCTTTCACACCTTTTCTTTCACAATGCAATCGCATGACCAGAACTCAACTTCATCTTTAAGTCATTGCTGAGGAAACTTAGGGGAGAAAGGATTTGAGGACACTCCTTAGCCTTTAGGCTCAACAAGATTAGAAATTGTGCCAACGGAAAGAAAAACAAATCTTTGCATTTCCCGAAATTCGATCTCAACTTTTGACTGAGAATTCTATGTTTTTAGGCAGGGAATAGAACTCGCTTTACAGCGAATGTAAATAAAGGAAACATTCTTATTCATCGCTTGTGAAGGATGTGATTTAATCGCTGAAATGATAACATGAGGCCCTCCACATGAATGTTTCTATCTTGGAGAAAATATGTAGTGTAGTATCCTTTAACAGTGTAGTCTGGAACAAAAATAATGATGTGAGACACGTGACTAAAATTCCGCCTCGCCCCATTTCTTATATTGAATGATCAGGTACTTGAGAATACAATTCTTCAATGGTTATATCACATAGTGGCTCAAAGCATTGTTTGCAAAGTCCCAAGCCACATAGGATGCAACATACCAAAACAAACAAGATATGTTTGTGTCATATATGAAGTTAAATTCTATTTGAGAACATTAATGAGCTAAGGGGCAATTGTCTGTGGGCCAAATAGGCCGATTACATTTTGTGCCAAGTCTTCGTTTTAAGCAGTGCTGAACGGGGATGAGGGGGCTCACCCATGTCGCACACGTTAAAATAAAGAACAATAACACGTACAGTATTTCATAAGCTGTATGGCATCTTCTTGAACTTGGTCTCGAACTCGGTAAGTACATTTCAGAAGAACCACTAACCAACCACTGGGTCAAGTCGAGTTAACTCACATCCTTTCCTCCATCAAAAGATATCTGCATATAATCTACTTTTATTTCCCATATATTGCCGCCTTCTTTCTCCATCCTTTTGCCGGTTGTTGCCTTTAAAAAAATGGTATATTGGTACACATTACACAATGTACCACTTTACTCTTGTTGTTCACGGTATTCATTTTAATGATTTTTTTTCTCGATCTTTTTAAATATATTGTGCAGCTCAACCAATATAATATACCAGTTTGGAGATGGCACGCGATACATAATTATAACGACCCCAAATAATCACATACTGTTTTAACATGGAGACGTCCCACTTTGTGCATTTTAGAATTTTAGAATTTTCGTCACTGCAGACTCTGCGAAAGTGATGGAAGTGCCTCATGAATACATTTTTGTTGGCCTCTTGAAAAGAATACTCCACCAATGTGTATTATAGGAGAATGTACCATCGGTAGTGACGTATGGTTACATAGCAACGGCCCGAAATCACAAAGCAAGGTTTGAGCTCAAACCTCCTTTTGTTTCGCCAAACCTCCTTTTGTTCTTTACAAACCAGGTTTGTAAAAAAAAACGTGTATAACGCTCATGATGTACGAAAACCAAGGTCAACAAACCTCCTTTGTGAATTCGGGCCAATGGGTTTTACAATTATTGTACAAAACATTATATCTGCCAATGCGCAGCTAGTTTCTACGAAATGGCTTATTGCATTGTACTTTCAAATTTGAACAGTTCATGCTTTTAAAGGGACTTGTTCAGATGAGAGGAAATGGCCGTGCTAAGGTAGTGACTTCAATGCTACATGTACAAGTTAGGTTAGTACAATTAAAGATAATCTGAAGTTTGAATGAAAGCAGACCACTGTAAACGATAAAAATTGGGGAAACTGATCTGATTGATTCCTTAATTCTCCCAACTATATTTCTACAATTTAATTACATTTTAGGTGAATGTAAATCGTTACAAAGCAATGAATCGGTTCTATATACAATTCCAGACATTTAAAAGCCTGTCTTATGTTTAATTTTCATGGAAAAGAGCGCATCGCACAGTGACGCCAAAGAACACCATAAATATATGTGTGGTTTGAAGAAAAAAAATCGGGAGTTCTTGCATGTTAAAGGATTAGTACAGTAGAAGGAACATATTGAGTTACATTTCATACAAGAATTACGCAGTTTTTTCATCAGCCTTCAACAATGTTACCGAGTCACTTTCACTGAGAACAAGCTATTGGCGTCGGTGTCTGTACACATGGATGGGTGGACCTCGTCGCATGTTGCTTTGTCAGGCAAACACCAACAAAAACAGCGCGTCGGAGTGTGTCTAACCAAGGAATTTTAAGAGCTGGAGTCCCAACTGGCAACAAATCATTTCAAGCAGATGCCGTTTTCTGCAGAATCTGCAGGTGTGCTGTATTAAACTTCTGTTACCTTTGATGTCTGCGATTAGATGCCGCCAACGTCATTGGAAAGCTTGAGTAATGATTTTTGTCATAAAGGAAAATCGTTAACATTTCACAATTGGATCTGCTCAAGTTAATGGAAAATGGAGAAGAAAAAAATACCAATTTCTCACTTATTTTAGGCAATTTTTCGTAACAATTTCATATGACAACTACTATTTTCGGGTAAAGCAGGTTACATCTTGCTAGACCAAGCCACCATACCTATCAACCAGTGAACTTAATCAACTTCTCTCAAGAAGGCCCCTTTCTAGATAAATAGGTCATTTGAGCTATGAAACTGAATACGGTATAAATGTGATTTTTCATGGTACCCTCAATTCTGAATATTAATTGGTAAAGGTATGTATAAGCGACGGTTCAAGGAGATCGATATAAAATGCATGATGCATTTTACGGTACCCTTTGATTATCATCCTTTCCTGGTATTTCTTATTTCAAGATTATGAGCTGGTACCTTCTTTTTCCGAGTGGGGATCAACATTTTGAGATCCTTCGTAAATCCCTACCTGTACTATTTCGAGAATCGTCAGATACACCGTATGCGACGCATGACGTTGAATATGTCATTGAAATGCGTGCGTTTGGTTCTATCATTGTTCTAACCTTTATGGCCGGTCCGGATTCCAATTTTTTGGATGGGGGAGATATTGCAGCTTTAACTCATATTTTAATTGAATATATTGATTAGACTCGAGATAGAGAGAGAGAGAGAGAAGGAGAAGAGCCGTGTTGTGACATTATCATGACTGGTTTCTTTTCTCTCACAATTTACATCACAAGTCAGCCCTAATCTCGTTCTCTGCAATAAACTCTCTAATTCTGTTGTTTGTTTGTCTATTCTCTCTCTCCCCCTCTCTTTTCACTGTTTTTTTCTCCTCACGCACTTTCGCGATCCTTGAGACTTTTTTCTTCAAAGAAAAGCTATACCGGGCGAACACCACCGACGATCCAGGAACAATAGATGAGAAGAGATTATCGGGCAGAAGAACCAATGGGAGTAAGGCCTAGCCCCAAACACAAAAGAACTTATCAAACATACCACGCTCCACTACTCATCGATGGGTGTCGTAAGAAGGGCTTTCAAAAGGCATTCGTCTTCGTAATAGACGCATATATTATTCACTCTCTCTGGAACTTGGTTGTATGCGTTTGTGGTATATTTGGGGAACAAATCGGCGTGAAAAAGGCATATAGTCAATGTCCTGTCGGCGGAATATACGAATGTTTTCGATCTTCAGGATATATTAGAGTACGATCATACGTGTCACAACGTGGTTCTAAGTATATTTAGTATAAAAGTGAAGCAGTGTCGTCTTTCCTCATGAAACAAATACCAGGACCATCGTGCACTATGGTGAAGAGATATTACACTATCAGAGTCAGTCGGACGGTGGCCCATGTTTTCTGTCTCTGTTTCGCCATCACTTTTTGCACTCTTCTCGTAGCTTTGCCCTCGTTGGAAAAATCTCGCCAGTCATCGCCGTTCATCGAGGTCGATCGGCGGGCGGGGTCTTCCGAGCACGACATCGAGGTCCAGGATGAGCCCTTGGTCCTAGTGGAGTACGACCCGGCCGAGGCGGCCCTGAAACGGGAAGAGGACAAGATGAGAGAAAGGGCGGCGAAAGAAGCCAAGGCGAGACAGGATGCCGAGAGAAGGCTCGGTGAAAGGGAAAGAGTAAGAGAAACGGAGAGGGACAGGGAAAGAGATAGGCAGAGATACGTGGAGAGGGAAGAACCGAGGTTGCCTGCGAGGGCCCCTGTACGTGAAGCCCCCAAAGAGGTGGCTCGCCGACCAGATGAACGACGGGTAGAATCAGCTCCCGTCAGGATCAAGCTACCTAACGGCATGAAGGGATGCGCCAGACCCTCTCCCTATGGACGTGGTTATAATGTTGATCGCGACACCACTGGACAAATCAATGCTGCCTGCACAATGGACGAAAAAGAGGTAACACGGGGTCCACCCCTCCCTTATACTATTACACGAAATTTCACTTATCTCTCACTTGTACCTCACTCGATCACGACCCACCTTTTCGGTCTTGTTCCTATCCCCCTTTTTCGGTCTAGAGCCTATCCATGGATTCCGTTGACTTTTTCCTTAACCTTTTCCTTAAAGGTAAAGACCAGTATTGGCAACGCCCCAATTTCAAAAAATGAAATGGAAGCTCTCATTACCAATCATGTGAAAGAATATGTTTTGACTAATACATGATGATAAAAAATTTGCCGGGAAACCGCCTACTAATTCATATATTTGGTAAATTTATTTCTCTCATGGTCTGGTGAGAGAGATAGGGTAGTCCCATATACATCTTTCTGTGTATAGTGCTTGTAACTTTACGAAGAATGGGCCAAATTTCTTATCATTTTGATGATTCCAGAACCTTGCAGATGCTAGATGCTAGATGATCAACCTTTTCTGATCGATTCCACAACGTTTCTTTCACAATGCAATCGCATGACCATTACTGGTCTTTACCTTTAACCCGCGATTCTGGGAGAATGATGTGTTCTCAGCAGTAAGGCTTTCAGTTTCAGCTCATATATTCATCCTTCTCATAATTAGTGTGTTGTCAAGTAATCTGGCTTAGTTGTTGGTTCTTTGTGGGTTATTCTACTCGTACATGCATGGGGTTGTCATATATTTTGTTTCCGGTCCGTCTTTACACCACCATCTCATCAATGAGCTATACTTATTTTCTTCACACAAGAGCATAATTGCTGCAGCCTTCCTCTCCTTTCTATCATACTTTCAAAAGCTAAAGTAAAGTTTTCCAAAAAAAAGGTACAATTCAATCTGCGTTATCTCAAAATGAATGGTTATTTTCCACGGAACATATAAATTCTAAAGCTGTTATGCGTCGTCATGGTTGAATTGCAATGTGTACTGCCACGCCTAGTTCGTTTAATTGCGTTTTATACCAATACAATAGAAGTAACCATATTACATAGTGCACTCTCTATGAATGTCTATACTCTGCTGGCATTTAATCAACATAATTCACCAAAAGTTAAATAGAAGGTCGAATTACTTTTTGTAAACGGGAGAATTGGTGATGATTTTTTTCTTTTCTTCTAATGTATTTTGGGAAAAGCTTTCGTAAAAGAAATTTCTCTTGAATAATATTGCCCTTCTATAGTGTCCTCATATTATATTCGAAATATGACGAGAAACAGATGAAAAATTCGGATCGAACTCTCGTGCCACACGTTTGTTTAGTCACATCATGGAGTTTACTAGCTAGTAAAAAACCATAGTCCCATATACCCATTTATGTATGCAGTGCATCTGTATTTGAAGACTTGAGTTCCGTTCTTCTTCTTCCAGTTAAGTGCCGCTTCATGGTGATTCCAAAGCTCACATTATTCTCCAATCCTTGTTTACCGATAACCGACAATCAATTGCTTCCAGAGAGTTTCTCTCAATAACTCAACTAAAAGGTACTATGTCCCATTTGCAGGCCAACAAAAAATGAAATAAATTCCAACGGCATTTTAAAGATAGTACTAAAAAAGGGGGCTTGAAAATGTCTTTAAGTGGGAAAATAAAGACTATTAGTTGTCAAATCGACTTAAGAGCTATAGAGCCAGTAAGTAATAGTCTGATTTTCAGACTATTGTACCGATTGGTCGTACGTTTTATGCTGCGCAAAGATTCAATTAGTTTGATTTTGGCTATTACAATAAGTGGGTTGTTGATGTAGACAAATGCTCATGTACCCTTTATAGCTCCTTTTTATGAATGTTACATGTATTACCAATGCAGAAAAAAGCCAATCAGTCATTCTATAGTGTCTGACAGTGAAGTCTAGCAAGTAAGCTGGTTTCCTTGCATAATTTGAATATGAGGACAGTGCTAACGTTTAAATTTCATAACTAGGACATACATGACATATTCATAATTACTGCAAATTTCTACAGAATTTGATGTTGGCTGCAAAAGGGACATACTATCTTTAACGATACATTTCGATAACGGGTAAATATTTGTCATCGTTACCACTATGCATGCATATCAAGATGGAGGAAAGGGGTATGTTGTCTGGTGTTTGATCTTCTTCTTTGGGGTTAAGTCTAGCTCCTTCACAGTTGAAGGTTCTTGCAGACTGATGAGTGTGTGTGTTTACGAGAGCCATGGTTCAATGCTATTAACATGGTGCAAGTAAAAAGGTTTTACTCAGTGGCTTTCTCTTTTTTGTGTGTCTTTGTATTTCCGACGTATGTCTGGAAAGAATTAGAATGAGGAAGTTGACCAAAAAAATTGAAATGCTGTTTTGGAAGGCACAAGAAATCTCATTATTATTTTAAGATTGATGGGTTTCGTTGGTAAAAAAAAGATAAAGGGAAAGCCAACCTCGCTATTAAACTACTCTAAAAATCAGAGAAGCAGATTATTGAAAGTCTGAACGAAATCGGACAAACCAGGAATACTAAAGAATGGTTAAAAGTTGCAACCACTATAAGTATGGGCGGTTTTAATTGGCTGAATCTACACGTTGTAGTACGGGCTGAAATGAAAAATAAATATGATTTCATTTTCATTATTGAATCAAAATCAGTCGTTTGCTTTTTACAAATTATTGTGCGTGAAGTTAGAACGCTAATGATCATTCTCTTCTCTCAGCAATTGACAATACTTCCGTAAACATGACAGCAAAAGTGTCCTTCACATTTATAGTTGTACTAGTAATCTTTGGTTTTGTTTTTCTAATTATGACGATGAGTGTCAATAATCACATAACAAAAATTGCCGGTGTCGGCTGCCTTAAAGATAAACTTGAGTTCTGGTAATGCGATTGCATTGTGAAAGAAAAGGTGTGGAATGGATTAGAAAAGTTGATCATATAGCATGTAAGTAATGGTGTGTAATGCAAGGTTCTGGAGTCATCAAAATCATCATAAATTTGGCAGAGTCTTGGTAAAGTAACAATCACTTACACAGAAAGATGTATATGGGACAATAGTCATGGTGTCGGGGCTAGTACTACCCTGATTTCCTTGTCTTTCTATGCTCATTACTCAGCCAGTATACATTTTCTTCCAAAATTATTTGGCACATTACATTTATTTGTAATCTTGAACATTCAGTGTAAGTTTCGTTGGATTCTGTGAGAATTCATTTTCTTTTTTTACCAGAACTCAAGTTTATCTTTAACTTTATTGATCAATTTCAGTAGTGCTTTATATTGATATCTGATTTAAAAGTTAACGTTATGATATTGATTATGAGCAAATGAATACGATAAGCAACTAAATGAGTGATTAAACAGATTAATAAATTGTTCATAAAATCAGTAATGACAAAGATATTCTGGAGGATGCATACCCCACTCCCAATCATGTATCCCACTTTTTGGGAAATAGCGGGTTAATTTGAGCACGTCCGAGCTAGTTTGTGATGAGCCTATCAGTCTGGTGAAGACGCAATTTCGAGCTTCGGGATAATATCCGAGTCTGAAAATAGCGGGTTATTTGGCAAACTTGAGCTGATGAAGACAAGGCCTAGGCTCTTAGGGATCTATCGTTGTTGGTTAGCTAATTAGGGAAATAGGTCAATTTTGACCATAATGACCGACTACATTTTCTTTTCTTGATATCAACTTTAATTATGAAAAGTAATTGACTTTTTTATTTAGTTATATTTCTTGTAATGTTATCCCTGTATTTTTCAGGAATACAGAACAAGGTTATTATGTGAAATTGAATTTCACTTCCCTCTCTTTATTTATATATCCAAAGATAACCAACGTATATATATTTTCTCTCATTCATGTAGTTTTTTCAGGGATATGGATAAATCCATTTTCAGATATAAATCTCGGAACTCTTGCTGTAATCTACCCCGTGATATAAATAGTGAACCATAAACCGACCCTCGCTTGTGCAAATTTGGAAAAGAATCTTGAGGATAAAAATCAGACTGCAATCTTTCCTCTGGACAATAGAGACCTCAAACCAGCGTCCCAAGCTGTCAAGGTTGATGGTTCCAAAGAAATTGTGCCTTTAAAGATAAACTCCAGTTCTGGTTAAAAAAAAGAAAATTAATTCTCACAGAATCAAACGAAACTTACACTGAATGTTCAAGATTACAAATAAATGACATGTGCCAAACAATTTTTGCAGAAAATGTATACTGGCTTAGCAATGAGCATAGAAAGACAAGGAAATCAAGGCAGTACTAGCCCCGACACCATGTGTGTTGTCCCATATATAGCTTTCTGTGTACAGTGCTTGTTACTTTACCAAGACTCGGCCAAATTTATGATGATTTTGATGACTCCAGAGCCTTGCAGTGCACACCAATATTTACATGCTACACATGATCAACTGTTTCTGATCCATTCCACACCATTTATTTTTCACAATGCAATCGCATTACCAGAACTCACCTTTATCTTTAACATTAACAATGGTGTTGTGATCCACCAATTTCACACGGTAGTATACTGTACGGTATTATGAAAGAAGAAATAGAAGAAGTTTTAACTGTACCTAAAGTGTAATCCCTACACCAGTGTATTAATAGCTCAAAGTAGTAAACCATGTACACTCGTTACCTCACATGTGATGTGATGTAAAATAAAAAGAAACCCGGTCAGAATGTTTGGTTGGTTTGATGATTTGATTTTTTAGCAAGGTCTTGTATTCTTGTACGTAAGCATTCACGTGACTGGCGGCTTAAATACCCCCGTCTCAATATACTGTAAGACGATTTGTTGCGATCCCCATAATCGAAAAAGCGTTGTTGTAGATCTTTGCTTGATATTTTAAACTTTCTCCATCGTTTCTTGAACCTATCCCCTAGTCGCCACAACATTTTGAATATCATTCAAAACTTCCGCAGCGAGATCGCGGAGGTGCTGAAGAGCGTATTAAAAAAGACATACATGTATATGTGTAGGTCTGACGTAGCAGCTGCGCTTACAGTACATTACAAGCGCATTA